CTTTGCCGCTGGAAGCTGCGTAATAATCGTTTAATCAGTTTATGAGCCTGTGATTAGCGATGTCCGTAGCTGCGGCCCAGATCCCTCCCCCTGCGAGCCAGCCCAGCCCTTTGCGTTACAAACCCAGCGCCGCTGGGGCACCGCCTCTCCCTTCCCGGCTCTGTTTCATCACAGAATCGTGGAATGGTTTGGGTTGAAAGGGACCTCAAAGATCATCCAGTGCCAACCCCCCTGCCGTGGGCAGGGACACCCTCCACTACACCAGGTTGCCCAAAGCCTCATCCAACCTGGCCTTGAGCACTTCCAGGGATAGGGCAGCCACAGCTTTGCTGGGCAACCTGTGCCAGTGCCTCACTGCCCTCAGAGGGAACAATTTCTTTAAATCCAATCTAAATCTCTCCTCTTTCAGTTTAAATCCATTGCCCCTTGTCCTATCACTACATGCCCTTGTAAAAAGTCCTTCTCCAGCTTTCTTGTAGCCCCTTTAGGCACTGGAAGGCTGCAATAAGATCACCCCGGAGCCTTCTCTTCTCCAGGCTGAACAGCCCCAACTCTCTCAGCCTGTCCTTATACTGCAGGAGGATTAGGATGGTAGAAGGGCTTCACAGGACTGTCACAGCAGCCTGAAGAGCTTCAGACTTTTATTTCTGCTGCGAACAATCCATTTTCTCTGCTCTAGAATACTGGTCTCGTCCTTTTCTGAAGAACAGTTGAACCGTTACGAGATGTACCGCCGCTCTGCTTTCCCCAAAGCTGCTATTAAACGGGTATGACTTCAGCAGTGCTTTGCTCTAGAAGAAGTTTGAGCTGAGCCTTGCTAAGCCTGGCTGTGGTTGTGGCAAGGCCTTGCACGACACAAGCTGGCTCTATGGTATGCTCCCCTCTCCAACTGCATCCTGGCCCTGGTGGCCGAGAATTGTCCTTAGAACAGCCTGTCCCATTATGGTCCAGTTCAGTGCCCTCACACAGCTTATGCAGTTTAAATGGGAGCTCATCCTAAATAATGGTGGCCTGGAGGCAGTGAGGTAACAGGAAAAAGTAACTGCTGGTCAGGGTCCGCAGCTGGATGAGAGCAGGCCAAAATATTGACAGCCAATGCGTGTCCAAAGCTGTAGGAACTAATTGTAAAGCTCAGCTACTGCTGTTTGGCACATTTCACCCGTCCTCGGTTGGTAATCGACAGCTCAAACTGCTAAACATGAGTTGAACTGTCTCACTGTTGCTGTGTGCACCCTCCCAGCTGACTCTGTGTCCCTCTTGTCCAGCTGATCCAGTCCATCACCGGCACCTCTGTCTCCCAGAACGTGGTTATCGCCATGTCTGGCATTTCCAAGGTCTTCGTTGGGGAGGTGGTGGAGGAAGGTGAGTGGCCAATGTTATTGTTGAGGGAAAACTTCAGAATATGGAGTGAACTCACTGTTTAAAGCATTGCAGAATGTGAAACGAGACTGGATGTTTTGTGGTTCCCAGTCCTGCTTCCCACACTGACCTGCAGGGCCCTGACCTCCCAGCAGCAGTCGGAGCATTACCTTAGGAGCTCAGACAAGAGGGGGTGAAGCCTGGCCTTGCCCCTGGTCCCCTCTAATCCCATCCCCGTCTGCCGGTGAGTCAGCAGAGGCTGATGACCACTGACCTCCATTTTATCCTCTCCAAGGCGGATCATGGCAGAGTTCTTGCTCTGTGAGCAGGCTCTTAGCGCTGCCTCGGACAAACTCAGCCCAGAGGGTTATTTAAGCCTCTTAACCCTGAAGATTCTTCTTTTATGGGATGAGCTGAGATCTTTGGGACACCAGGTGGGACGCTGACCCTGCTGTGTCCCTGCGCTGCTTGGGCTGGAGGAGGAGGAGGCGATACTGGTTTTGATGCCAACCAGTTCCTATAGACTTGTCAGACAAAATGTGGCCTGGAGGTTCCGGGATCACCATCACCCGGTGATGCAGTGCTGGTGCTGCTGTCTTGCCTGAGGCCATTTGGAAAAGCAGTTTTGCTGCTGTCATTAATTGTTTTATGTCCTTGGTAGCAGGTGTGAATGATGCTGTAAGTGACAGAGAAGAAACTGGCCCGTAAGTCCACTGTAGGTTGTACCTTCCTGTCACTGCTGGACACCACCACCCCAAAACACACCACCCAGCTTAGGGGTGGCTTTAGAACAGAAGGTTTAAGGTCATAAGTTCTTGCACAACTCAAGCCAGTGTTGTCCATAGTAGCTGGAGAGGCTGAAAAAAGCAGTTTATTCGGCTCTGATATTGACACCCCTAGTTGTGACTTTTCTGTCAGACAAAGAGAAGCACACAAAGCAGCTTCATTCTTGTGTATTAGCAAAATGTGAATGGTAAACCCTAAAAAAAAAAGTTACCTGTTGCCTTTAAAGCTCAAACAGTAGAAGACTGGCTGAGCTTAGCGCTCCTGCCCACGTGAACTCTTTGGTTTTTGTTGTTTAGCGCTGGATGTGTGCGAGAAGTGGGGGGAGCTGCCCCCTCTGCAGCCCAAACACATGCGAGAGGCGGTCAGGAGGCTCAAGTCCCGTGGACAGATCCCCAACTCCAAATACAAAAAGATCATCTTCCACTGAGGTGGCCCAAGAGCAGCCAGAGAAGATGAAGTTAAAACAAGCTTCCTGCTGGGAACCTCACTGCAGTTTCAGCAGAGCCACAAGACTGAGGCTCCTTCCGGAGCGCTGTGTGCGGACTTCAGGGAGGCTTCCTGCCACCGCTGCGCACATCTGGCTTGTGCTGAGCACTGTGCAGAGCCAAATCCCTGACCTGGAGCCTCGGGCTTCCCTGCTTTCACAGAGCAGGGACAGGAATATTCAACGTCTTCAGTGTGTTTGCCCACCAGGATCCTCCTTTCTGCTGGTACAGATGTAATGGTGTCTCTGTACAGAAGTTTTGGGGTTTTTTTTGTACATTAAACTTGTTACTGTATTCTTAGTTTTGCTGGGAGTAGTAATTGTGTAATGGTGTTTGTGTGATTCCAAGTAGGGAGAACACAATGTGACGATCTGTCTCAACCAACCCCGACATGTTCCTGAAGCGTCACCTTGCCTCAGGCAGGTGTTGCTCCATGAGCACAAGCAAGGGAAGGCACGCTGAAAGCTGCTTCCAAAGTCATCACTCAGCTGTTCTTCCCAAAGCCAGTTTTATGGAGCTGCCTAGAAAACAGTACAATTAGGAAGAAGGAGGGGGGGGGGGAAAAAACACCATGAGCCTTTAAGGAGGTTAACAAGTTTAATTTCTTTTCATGGTTCATAGAACCAATAAATGCATGAGTGGAAATATACTGCAACAAAGTTCCAATACTGCCTAAAACTCAAATTCAAGTTCAAACTTGCACATTACCCACCTGCACATAGAACAATCCCCTGCGAGCACGCTGCTTCGAACTAAACGTAAAGGATGCTGAGGCCACGTGCTCTTCCGACATAATTGTGTTGTAGTTACACAAAGGGTTAAGTTGGCGCTCATCATAACATAGAAAGACTCCCGAAATAAACGGCTCTGCAACGTAAACTTTGCTACTCATCACCAGTGGAGACACAGGAGTTGTGCTCCCACACGTTTGCCCTGTAGAAAGGACGTGGAGTTGGTTTTACAGTACTTTTTACTGGTATTTAGAACAGTGGTAGTGCTTTAATTCTTAAACAAAACCAACTGACTTGAGCTGCTGGAGCCAGAAATTTGCTGTAAACAACTTGGCCCCAGCTCTGTTCAGTCTGCACGTGTGGGACAGAGCGGTGTGACACGCCAAGCAGGCACCACGTCGGAGCAAACCCTCTGCACCCTGCGCACCGCGCAAGCTGGTTAGGGACGAAGCTGGACACCTACTCCAACAAAAAGTCATGAAAATTTCCAAAGAGAAGAAACAAACCTCCCGTTTTCAAGCAATCAGTGAATAAAAAGTAAGAACACCATTGCATTCCACCAAGGCAAGCGTTCCTCTATTTCTTGCTTCACACGGGAAGAGGGAGCAAGCTCAGAAGCACCAAGGTTTGGCAGACACAGTTCAGCTCCTGCGCCCGTGGGCTCCGTGCAGCTCCCAACGGTGCTCACAGCAAGTCTCGACCCACAGATGCTTTTTCTCCTTGCTCTCCTGCTGCGAGAGCTGCTCACAACACGAGCATTTACCACAGGAGAGCGTTTGCGTTTCGGAAGCCCTGCTCTTCCTTCTGAACTCCTCTACGCGCGAGGCAGCACTGGTGAAGGAAATGCCCGCTGGCGCTTAGAAAGTTAAAGTGCATTTTCCTCTTGGGAACAGGCCTGGCAGCTGCTCTAGCACGCTGTCCATCACAGCCAGCACCACAAACCTGTCCCGTCAAAGGCTGCGCTGAGCACAGAATGTGATCCAGAGAGAACAGCCAGGTTGTCTGGCAGGAATGAGGGGTGATCCTCTCCCCTGGAGGAGGGAAAGCAACTGGCAGAAGTCACAGCATCCAAAACATCAGGGCTATGCCCAGGCTGAGTGGGTGGCGAGTGTGAAGCCTCCTGCAGCTCAGCTCCTGTGCTTCTGCCAACGGCAAGTGCTCCTCCTCCTAATCCATTAGTGGCTGCCTGCTTCCAGAGGTTCTAGAAGGAAAGTCAGGCTCTGGCTGCTGCTGTCATGTCCGGTTGTAGGCACTGGTCAGGCAGATCTTGGCAGAAATAACTGGACTGCAGCAGTACAGCCTGCCCCGAGGCTGTCTGCTCTAACCTAGCACACAAGGACTAATTCCAACAAATGTTACTCAAAGCTACGTCCAGTCTAACGGAGTCAAGATCATCATCTTAATCCTGTTTAAGAGTGACAGTTGTTTTAATCCCCATCCCTCTCTTACATACCCTCTTTTTCCGAAGTGAAAGCTAGCAACCACAAGGAATTCACTCTTGGCTCTCCGCAAACCACAGGCAGCAGTGCCTCCACATCCAGCCCAGCGCTGTAAGTCTGTCCCTGCTTCCCCTAGAGCTAAAGAAGAACTAAAATCATCTCAGGAGTGTCCAACAGCTCCTGAGTTGGGCAAAGGGACACGTACATAAGAGCACAGTAGGAAAAACAAACTTAACCCCCAAGTTATTTGCTTGCTTTTCCAGGCCTCGACTCATCATGGCTTGTAAATCGGAGGCTGATCCTTGCATAGTGAGCAGGATTAAAATCTTGCATTACTTTAGCTAAACTAATTTCAGTGGAGTAATGCTTACATAGGAAAAAATAGAAAAATCCATTAGCTTAACGTTTTGGGGAGTGTATTCAACTAAAAAACACAGCAAGGGTTACCCAACCGTTACAGACAAGTGAAGTTTTCCTCCAATTGCTAAAGGAGAGTCACGTTTCATATGTCACTGTCCCTAGCACTGAGCACGTGGCAATCTGGTTTAGGTGCACTAACAGGCCTGTGCATCAGAAACGGTACATACACCCAAGCACAAAACACATCTGGAAAAATCCAAATCCAAGCTGGAAATAAGATAAAAATCCAACAAACTGCACGCAGTAAAGATGCTGTGTGTAACGGGAGGGAACGGGCGCTCACCGGAACACCGAGGCGGCTGAAAGTCGCACCCTGCTGTATTAGGACAGAGAAATTCTCCTCTGGAACAGCTTCTCCCTTCACTGCCCCTCACGGCTGCTGCCTTCTGCAGCACGTCCTCCATGCATGGCCTGAACTACTGCAGCAAACACACCACGTACCAGTTGGCCTTCAGCAGTGAATTTGATTCTTGCAGCTCATAAATGACATTTTTAATTTTTAAAATTAGTGTTTACTTCATATTTTACTCAGGTTTGCTTTCCCCCCCCCCTCCTCACTCGTAGAGGCTATTTCTCTCTAAATTGAGTCAGTCACTGACCACAGAAACCTCTTCCTCTTCAGGGAAGTAGCTCCAGAAAAGGGGAGAACACAAACCATCCTCGACCCAGCAGCTACTGTTTCATCTCCACCCCACAGTGAACAGTTAACAGTGTCAGTCTTCACCCAAGGGGGCACCTTCTCCTGACCCACATACCAAAATCCCTGTTAAAAGACATTTCAGACCAGGCAAGAGCTCAGTGCTAACAAAAATACACAACCATGTAGGAACGCAGACAGCCCTTTCCCTGCGTGGCCAGTACTGCTCTCCCTCCCTCTGGGTGAAACTGGTACACAGTGTGCATCCCAAAGCAAATGCATAGGTCATCTCATTCCATGACTTAATCACCTTCCTCCACCTCTATTCTTTGACAGTAAAATTAAAGTTTAAACAGTGCTTTGCAGCCAAATAAATTAATTTCTTTTGTTTCTGCATCAATAAAACCGAACGTTGGAGGATTACGTGAGAAGGAACTAGACTGAGTCTAACAAACCACCAATTCTGTCTTGACACAACAAGTCAGTGGTGGAGAAAAGTGTGAAGGAGTTTCTTTACTATCCTGAGCCTGTTCTTGAGGGAATAATGATCCGCAGCCCCCTTCCTCCACAGGGAAATCCCTTCTGCATCTCCCACACCCATCGACCCCCTGTGTTCCTGCTTTTCACGCGACAGTATGCACGCTTTCACATCAGAGCTCTGAGCAATGCCTTCTGCCATACCTGTTCTCTGCCTCTCCTCCACGTGGTGAAGTAACCGCACTCCTCTCGCTGTGTTCTTTGGCACAATCTTGCACGATTGGGCAAGAACACAATGAGGAAGGCCAAAAGAAGCAGAAACCCCCAAATGGACCATCTCTAGCTATTACCATGAAAGGTGAGGGCTGAAAGCACACTGTCACCACCACCCATGGATGGAGAGACATGGGGGGTGTGTCCCCAACTTCTGACCTTTTGTTTGCAGGCTGACCACTGCCCTGGTTCAGTGACAGAGGCAGCACCATACTGTCCAGACAGAGGAAAGTGGCTGCAGACAGGTAACTCCTCCTTGTTCCTTCCCTGTTGTTCAGCCAGGCCTGCCTTCCTTTCTCCCTCTTCCAAGTTCATTTTGCAATCACAGTTGGTTTCCATTCTTTGAGGCGATCAGTCTCCAGGAGGTTGACCCATTTAGCAGCAATATAATCAAACTAGCCGCCTTAGTGCTGGTGGTGGTCTCCACTCCTCCTGAGCAGCTGCAGCCTGTGCCTTCACTGTCAAAGCTGGAAGAGGGGATTGTATTTCCTAATTTCCTGCAGAAGGCGAGCCTTGTCCATGTTGGCTTCTGCAAGGGCTATTTTCATGGTCTGAAGCTCCCTTTGCAACTCTGGCACTTCTTTTAACTACAGGAGACAAACAGAGAGAAAACAAACCAGGAGTTTCCGAAGGCAAGCAGCAGGGCGGATCTGCTACACTGATCTGCTCAAAGAAGAGCACCAAAGCAGGAGCTTTTGAGATGAATTACACAATGTGACACAACCACACAAAGCTCACTGACAACGTGACCCAGTTTGAGCTGCAGGAGTATGTACTCGTCAACTGGTGCCTGCTGACTCCCATACCTGTCATTACAGTCAGCTCGGGCTGCCTAACAACTGTTTTCTCCCAAGACTTCCCATTTCTAGGCATAGGAACGAGACCTGCAGTGGGGCAGGGTTTTTTCCTGCAAAGCAGCTAGCTGATTCTGCCTGAAGATAACTATACAAAAAGAGCAGGAAAACAAAAACTGGGCTCTGATCTGCATTCTTCTTTTATAAGGGGCTCTGATACGCCTCTAAAGATTTGTTAAAATGAAGATAGCTGGAGCAAGCAGAAGCCTGGCATTCTTATTTGTTGTCTCTATAAACAAAGTTAATTCTGTCCTCAAGTATTGCCAGTGAGATCCCATTACAGTTTCATGGCACAGGACAGTTTTTTTCCTTGGGCTTTCCTCAAGAATTTAGCCTTTGTATTTGTTCCTATTAAGTTCAATAACATCAGATAATCAACCGAAGCTAAGCTACTATGATGCTTCTGTGCTCCAGTTGTGGTCAGGGCCCTGTTTCACAAAACACTATGAACGGGAAAAGAGAAAGTCTCTGCACTAAATGGAAAAGGGAAAAATGAGAAATGAAGTGATGCGTCCCAAATAATGACCAGAATCCAAAGCCCCAGTCCGTTTCTAGTCAGCCACATTGCTCCCTTAATATGTATTTTTCCATAGCGAGTGATCAATTTACCAAGTAGACCTGGCATCAAACAGTAAATATAATTAGAGAACACTACATATTTAAAAATAAACCAGTCATCTGAATTTCAGATACATGGATCAAAATGGAAAGAAGGATCAAACTGAATAGCAGAAACTAAGCAACCTGAAACTCCCTGGCTGCGAGACTTACTCTACTCTGACAAAACATCTTTTTCTTTTTGGGAACCTCCCGATTCCTGTTTATCTAACAAGGAACTGGACACAGTGGGAAGATGGAGCTGATCAGGAAAAAAAAAAAACAAAACACAACAAGACTTCTGAAAGTAAACAAGAGAATTCATGCTGGGCAAGGTATCCTTACGTCTCAGAATGCCTGTAAAAGGAGGTACAGGCTGCTTTTGTGTGCACTTCCTATCTGCAACACACCACACCTACCAGTAACTGCAAACACATGAAGAAAAGAGACTTAATTTTCCAGCCTACTGCCAGCTATCCAGTTGTCCAGACAGCAACAGGCAGCAGTGACTCACCTGCAGTCCACGTGCTCCTGCTGCTGGGGCTGCCAAGACACACTCCGCTGGGGCCTCCTGTTCCTGAAGAACTGACACAGGTTTTTCCTGTTTCAGTGAGCCCTCCCCTTGCGGAGCTGGAAAGAAGCACAGAAAACATTCAGGTGTGGACATTTACACAACAGGCTTCTCCAGACAAAAACAGTAACTTTTTTTCTTCTTCTTCTCTTTTTAAACAGGGCAGGGAAAAATATCTCATATTCCCCTTTTAAAACAGAGTAACTAAAGCAAGGAAAGGAACAGTAATCTGCCCTGAGCTCAAGGAAACATCAGGCATGAATTCAGGCTGCCAGTTCACTGTTTTAGCTTTTAACCTGTTCTGCCTGAGGTACTGAATTTGCTGTCCGAATAAAACAGCAGAAGCAGAAAGAACTAGAGAGAGGCAGGAATGAATGTATCCAGAGATTAACACGGCAGAGCAGCCAAAGGACCTGGGTGCTTGCACTGAAGACAGGAGATTATGTGCCCATTCTTGTAGAAGCGACTGCAGAGAACAGCAGCAGGGACTGCTCACACACCAGAGCCCATCCTTCCCAGCAGCAACCATCACATTTCAGTTCCAGTCTCCTCCAGCCTCAGGCACAGCAGAGCACTCTACCTCCAGCACAGCCTGAGGGGTGGCAGGGGAGAATAAAAGAAGTTTCCTGATGTTGCTGACCTGTTAGATAGAACACCCCATCGTCTTTGCGCTTCACAATGACATGATCTACTGCCAAGGTGATAGGGACAGGGCCAGGGGAGGTAGGGTATACCCGGGGGCTGTCATCCTGGAAAAAAAAAAAAAAACCAGAAACAGAGAAGAGATTAACTGCTGTGACAGCTCTGGCAACTCTGCAAAGGATTCCCCTTGCCCCCAGCCTTCACAGGAGTTGCGTTACCGACTGGCAGCACTGCCAGAGCTCTCCCAGGTCACTCACCACATGCAAAAGCCTGGCCTTAAACACAAGGCTGCATGCGAGTCTTAATCCGTGTAGAAAGCACTCCCACAGACCAGAACCAGAGTTCTGTCATATCCATAGCAAAGGCTGAGGAGAGGCCTGTGATCATCACCCTGAAAGCTGCTCTTACCGTTGTCATCCTACAAATTCCGATTCAAACCCCTAGTCAATATTCCTTAGCCAAAAGAAGCCAATATCCCTTAGTCTGGAGATTTTCGTGTTGCTGTGCAGCAGCCCTGGTTCCTGCTTGTCAGTGCCTCTCTCCTAAATATCAGCCATCTTTTACGTAATGTTTTTCATCTGCACTTCTCTAAATGTCTACAGAAAAGGACAAATATTTCCCATTTTACACAAGCACTTGGAGAAAGGGGTATTTAATTCTATGCCTTGAGTCTGCAAAACATGTCATCAACAAAGCTGAGGAGAGTATCTGAATGTCAGGCTCCCACTTCTCCACAATCTGATCACTCAACAACTCCATTGTGTTACTTGTTCATCCCTCACGGCAGTTTTCAGAAGCAAAACAAAACAGTACCAGGAAAAAAGGACCTCTACAGAGGCCCACAGCAATCCCACAGCATCCTTTCCCAAGCAGAATCCTGCAAGCGAGCTCTGCCCAGGCTACCATCCTGGGAGAATCTCTGGTTCCCCACACACTCACCTTCAACGTGATTTTGGCATCCACAACTTCTATCTCCATGGGGATCACCTCTGGAATTATTTCATCCTCAAGAAAGGGGCCCAGGTTGGTAAGGAAGGACATGAATAGCTCTGCTGTGTAACTGTGGACCAGCATATGAAGGAAGCCGTTCTGAACAGCGAGTGGGGAACGCACGGCAGCGTTAGGTCCTACTTCCAGACGTAAGCACACTTCTGGCTGGGTCTTACTAGCTTCAGGGACCGAAAGCTTCTCTATCCCTGGATCTCCTAGAGCTGTGGCAGAAAGATCTCACTGCAGAAGATGGCATCAAATAACACAAACTCACAACAGGTATCTTGAAAAGCCCTTTACTGTCTAGATGCAGAATGGAGTCAAGTTCACAACGACAGCAGCCTGAAGTCATCCTTTGCATGAAATGAACCCAAATTTCAGATGACTATGAGTCCACATCACAGGAGTTAACACCAGAACTGAGCCCTTTAAGCCCCCAGACGCATCCTCCTCTCTCAGCACACTTTAAAACTGGCCTTCGTTTTGCAGACACACGAGTTGACCAAACTCACTAACTCCTCCGGCGCTGCAGAGCTGTCAGCCTTTCCCGTCCTCAACATTCCCTAATTTGTATCCCACTTTGCCCTCTCGTGGCCATGGGCAGTACTGTTAAGGGAAGGATCAACAGTCCAGGCACTGCTCACGCTTTTGCTTGAAGTTTCAGGTTGTAGTTCACAGAATCAGAGAATGGTTTGAGTTGGAAGGGACCTTAAAGACCATCTATTTTATTTTTTTTTGAGTTGTGTTATATGTTTGGTTTTTTTGTTGGTTGGGTTTTTTTTGTTTGTGGTGTTTTTTTTTGTTGTTTGGAGGTTTTTGTATTTTTTGTTTTGTTAGGGTTTTTTTTGTGGGAGTTAGTTTGTTTGTTTTTTAATTTGAATTTAGCCCTGAGGAAGTACCCTAGGCCAGAAGCATTATTCTCAGGGCAGAAATAACTTCAGGGTTTCCTTAGATAGCTTTATTCAATCTTTTAATTAATTTCATGCATCCTAGCAGCAATTAAAAAAATCCCAGTCAATGATTACTAGGCACCATAGAGCTTGACTATGTAGGCACTTTGGAAACATCTTTCAAATACCAGATTTGAACCACTAACAGAAAGATTCTTGGTGTTCACATTCCCTCACACACGTCATATTCAATCCTAAATACAGGAGACATTAACACTGAAGTTAAAATGGACTATTCCCTGAGGGCAGCAGGTACAAAAGCCAGTTATAAAAAAGTGAAGCTGTAACTCCAAGAGCCAGTGTCTTACCCAGATAGCCACGCAGATACTGCCACATTCCAACGTTGCTCAGTTGCTCTGGAACCACCTTCGTTACTTGTAAAGCAACAGACAAATCATCACCTTGTGCCTCTATTCCACAGTTCACCTCGTTCATCTTCAACACGAGGACAGACACCTGAAACAGCGACAAGCTCGCTTACTAAAACAACTACCAGCGCACAGTTTGCTTCCAGATTCACTCAGAGACAAGGTTACAGCGAAAAGGAACAGAACTCTGACCAGCTGAAGGCTGGGGTCTTCACTCTGTGAAGTCGAGCTGTTTATTTCAGGAGACACTCCACCCTCGTCCTCTGCCATCAGGCTTGTTCTACTGCCTGTGTCATTGTGGACCTGAGGAAGATGCCCTGAGGGAAGAGGGTCCAGGCTGGGTTCTGAAATGGAAGTAACAACAACTCGATTCTGGTTTTTTTTCTGGTTTTAAAAAGTCCTGATCTCAGTATCTGCCTGAACCTCATCGCCTCTCAGCCTATACCATCCTCTAGTGAATGCTCTCCAGCTCCTCAGATGAATTTAAGCAATACAGAGCTGAAGTGAAAGACACCCACTGAAATGCTCAGTCCACCTTATTTCCAACCAGCCCTTACTAAACCCTGCCTGAATGCTCCGTGCCATCCCCTCACCTGCCCACATGCACAGCCCTTGCTCTACTACGGCCAAACGCCTTAGAATATCGTTGTTACGTGCAGGAGTCACCCTCCCCACTCATTGACACTCCTCATCTCGAAGAAAAGGCATCTATAAAAGCAGAAAGAGCCACTGTGGGTGAACTATTCGTGACCTTCAAAAAGGAGTGACAGAAATGAATTCCACACGAACACGGCACGACTCAGTTGCCCGCAGCAGAAAGCTGTTCACCCATGTGAAAGAAGAGTGGGGGAGAGGATAAAGCCAAGCGCCTGTTACCCGAGTCTGTGAGCATCACAAAGCCGTCGCTGCCATCGCTGTCCACGGACAGCCCATCCTCAGGGCCGCTCCCATCCACGGATGTGGTGTCAAAGGAATGCTGGGATGCTGTCCTCTTCATCGAGAAGAAACGCATTCGGCTGCTGCCACCCCCACCTGGAGTCACTGCTCCCTCTTCTGCCTTGGGCACAGAATCCCTACCAAAAAAAAAAGTGATAAAGACAAACAGCTTAGCCTCCAGGTCGTACAGATACTGGGCTGGACTCTGAACAGCAAGTCTGACTGTCGGGTACCTAAACCAACGCCAAGAGGTGAAGATCTAATCTATCTCTAATCCAAACGATATGGAAAGAAAGGGAGCGGTCAGCCTGCATTTCCCCCTGTCCCTACAGCCTTGCAGCTCTTGTGAAGCACAGGAGGATGGCCCACTCACTTGGCTGGGGGGAGAGAGAGCATTTTCTGCACGGTGGAGGTCATCTTCTCCCGGCTCAGGCTCAGAGCATCTTTTGTTATAGACATGGCTTCTTTGGTGAGGTCCATAGTCACATGCAGGGCTTCCTTCGTGGCATCCTTTGTGATGTGCAGTGCACTAGACAGCTCCACCTCTATGTTCTTCAAAGGGATGACTTCTGCCTGGCCATTGAGAGCGATGTTTCCTCTCCCCAAGGGCTGCGTGTCTGAGGCTGGGCTAGAGGGGAGAGCAAGGGGGCTCTGAGGGTGGCTGCTGGTCTCTGCTGGTCTCTCTGCAACCAGGGCTTCCACAGCTTCATGGGCTTCCTCTATCAAACCTTTCTCCTCTATGCTCTTACTATGTGGAGCTGTACTCAGAGCTCCATCACTTGCGGATCTTGGGAGTTTCTCCAGTGGCATACTGGTTACACTGGTATTTTCAATCCCACTGTCCTCTAGGACCACTGAGGTACTGCATACTCCCTTCTCTGAACTGGTCTCTGATTTCAGCTCCTTCTCTTCAGGCACCAGCCCCTCCTTGCTGTCTGAAGGCGAGAGCTCAGACTCGATCAGGCTTGTTGTGTCCGAGTCAAGGGATCTGGGTTCCAAGACAGAGCCTGGTGCAGGGTTCATGAGCAGGGCCACTTCGGCACTATGGAACATAACTCCTACACAAGCAGACATGGGATCTAAAGGAGACCCAGTCACTTCCTGGGTATCTCGGGCCAACTGCTCCTGTAGTGTTTGCAGAACTTCTTTCATCCTGAGCAGCACCAAGTATTGGTAGTGGTTGAGCCGCACTTTGACGTGAACAGATGAGGACACAAGCACATGGATATCAGCAGAGGTTTCCAGCTCTTTATTATCTACTCCATCATCAACTTCGCAGTCAGATTCTCCCAAGACATCCATTGTCTCTGGGACCTTGTAGATGTTCTTCAGATCCTGGTCAGTCTTTGATCTTTGACAAACCCCATGTTCTCCAGAAAGATTCTCATTTTTGGAGTGATTGCTAAAGCTGGCAGAAGGCTTGATTTTCAACCCAGAGGCCACCAATTCCTGTCGTTTAGATATCTGAGCTTGTCCCCATCTCTTGGGAAGGCAGGCCCAAATGGAAAGGGGAAATGGGTCAATGAAGCTAAGGGCTCTGCCCTTTGAGCTTTCAGCCCCCTCAAAGTCCAGGGAAAGCTCAGTGAAATTCATAGACCACAGATCTTCAGAGGCAGAGGTTTTGTGTAGTAGCTGGGGAAAGCCTGGATGCTTCCGTGGCCTATCATCCACCTCATAGGCATGGCGCAAGAAAAGGGTGTGGAGGAGGCTGAAATTGTCCCTAGACCTTGGAAACTTCGTGTAGCTAGAGTGGAAGAATTCTGAACTGGCAAATCTACGGAAAAGGTTCTGGAGGTCCTGACAGCTGCAGAAGGGAGCGTGGCGGGTGTTGGTGGCAGTCACCTCCGACGTGCAAATGCAGAGTGCCTGTGGACGATCCTGATGGTCAGCAACTTTCTTCTCCACAGGGATGTTAAGCTACATGGAGGAGAAAGACATTACAAGTAAAGTGGTGAGAAGGGAAATTAACAGAGGCTTATCCTGGCCATTTACACAGAAGGTCAGCTGTGGAACATATAAATAACTGAGAAGTCTTGGGCTCTACTAAAATCTCAAGAGCTGGACTAGACTCTCAGTTTATCCCTACGTGAAAAATTAAATAAAATTTACAAATCAGGGAAGAGGAATCAGACACAAGGGAATTTAAACTGAGTTTTATTTTAGGTTCTTTTACCATCCCTGACTTATGCAGCAGCTCAACTTACAACATTCACTTTGATCTTTCTCTGCAAGGACTTATTGTGCTTTCAGGCCCTTAAGCCTCCTCACAAAACTGCTAACAAGGGCAGTCAATGACAAACACCACAGGACACCAGTGCAGCAGATGTAAGCCCGTTGGGAACGGTATGAGAGTCAAAGTGCTTTCCAAGGGCCAGAAAAGAACTTTCAAGTACTTGAACCACCGATTTCTCCTTGACACTGTTCTCATAGATACTGACTTGCCTGCCTACTCCGGACTAGAACCCAAGCACCTCTTTTACTGACCATAGATCAAAACAGAACTAACACAAACAGTAGACTGTTAGAGAGACAGAGGGGTTTCTTTTCTTGTTCTGGGCTCCAGGTATGTCCTAGTCTCATGTTCCTTCCGCAGTAGGGAGAGAGAGAACACTGAAGACTGGGAAAGCAAGGAAATGAATGGTACCTTCAGTCGGAAGCCATCCAGTCGAACATCAACATGCTCATCATGCTTGCCCGAGTCCTCCAGCTTGTAGATAGCTTTGAACTGCTCCAAGCTGCGATAAAGATCCAGACAGAAGAGGTTTATCCAGAGCACGCTTGCTGTATCCAAGGTAAGCATCAGGCCATTCAGTTGTACATACAGGTTTGGGCACGGAACTAGAACCAAACAGAATGGAGACAGGTTAAGCAGAGCAGAAAGGCACTGCAGCTGGTCTGCAGGCTCAGTGTATAACCTGCACTGACAATGCCAACGCAGAGGGCTTCAACACCCACTGGAAGACAGATCTCTTGATGAAAGGGAGAAGCCATGGTGCACCAGAGAAACAAGGTGTTCCAGGTCTCGCATCAAGTCATCTGCAGAGCACCCAAAGCACCCTACAGTCCTACTCCGGTGCTATCAATAAGGCAGAACACCAAGAGTCAGGCAGACACCAGCTCCTTCAATACGTTCCTGGATAAGTTATCTTGCAAGCACAACTTTGTCTCCATGTTCTGCACCAGGCAAACTCTATCCCATTTTCCCACAGGCAAAAAAAAATATTAGAAAAGCAAACATCAGAAAACTAAACAAAAATGGACACTCAGAGGATATCTAACAGGGTTGACACATCTAAAGAATTAAGAGTTGACTGATTCTCTAAGAAACTTATGAAAGAAGTTGCTAACCTTGGTGTATTACCTGGAAAGTCCTGATTGTCTGGGAAGTAATACTCTGTGAATTCAATATGGATTGCAGAGACCTGATCAGGAAGTTTGAAGAATTTTCTACTACATGAAAGCAAGGTGGAGGGTTTCTTACTTTGTTGACCAGCTGTAGAAACCTGAAAACACAATGGTATGCAGTTGTGCAGAATTCAGATTTGGCAAAACAAAGCATCCCAGTAACCCTGCAGTCTCCCATATTCAATCCATCTCATTTACACATCAAACATACTCTGCTTTCCAGTAAAAATAAAACTTTTTTCTAACTGCTAATATTGCCAACTTCTTTCCTTTGAGAGAATTTAGTTCTTTATGTCTCCTATCACTGCTAGTAAGAGCCACGACAATCAGAATTAGGTGATGTGAATAAACAGAACTGAAATCTGTTATCGCTTTCTTCAAGATTAACAGCATGTTGGTAAATCCATTATGGTATCTGGTACCAATTATGCTCTTGCAGTGGTTACAGGGTATACGGATGTAGGGCCTGATCCAGTCTAGTGATGCTTTCTGTCCTGGGTCAGAAAGCATGAGGTAAGACTTATTCCTCCTGTGTCAAAAATCCATATCCTCACTAACTTCTCAGGTGCATGAAATCTTCTACCCTGGACCTGCCTAATGCTTGAAGCAAGTTTAGATGCGAACAGACAGAGAGCGAAGAAACTCTCTGATTATGTATGCAATTTCCTCTGAACAAGAAAATTATCAGCAGTTCATACTTGGTTTAAGAGTTTTATATTCACCAGAGTAACGGCATTTAGGTTCTCTGGGCAGAGCTTTGATTGTCTTGGATGACATAGAATTTGCATGATTTATTTGAATTGTATCAGATTAAATTTCTTTTTTAAAACTGACATGAACATCTCCAGACACTGCTCAAATCCCTACCTGGTGAACATCCAAGTCATCCACTCGAACTACCACACAGCTGGATCGAAGCCGGTTCCAGGGAGGGTGCCGGAGTCGTGGCAAGCTTGTGGGAGGTACACGGCCTTTCTCTAAGGAACTTTTCTGAGGACTCAACGAGGTATCTGTGGGGATGGAAAAGCAGAACCAGCAGAATTTTACTCATCTCCTTTGCAGTGCTATCAATGCCAACACGTATGTGCTTACAGAGCAGAATTTAAAGCCTCAACATTAGAAACAGCTGGGCACAGTTAGGCAGGAAAAAAAAACAACCCAACTTAGGACTTCTGAAGGAAGAACACTGTGAAAGATGAGTCTACTCTGTAGCAAGAGACGCATTCTTCAGCCAGGTTTTAAGTATTTAATTTACTCCTTGTATGCTCAGTCATGGAGAAACTCAATAAATAAGCCAGGAAAGCGACTACTGCAGCCTGTCCATTCTTGCTGCAGTGTTATTCCAGTATGATAGCGACTTTCCTTTGTCATTATATTTATAATTTTTAGTGTGCTATGGATTTCAGCACCAACAAATCAGCCTGCTAAATTGGGGAGAGGTAACTAGAGATATTACTGAATGGAGCAAAATGGTTACCATCTCTTGTTTTACTAGGAGTTTTATCAAATACCATTACCTGGTTTGCTTTTGAAGGGGGAAAGTGGAGTCCTGGCAAATGCAGGGTCCATTTCTTCATAAAGCTTCTCAATCTTGCTTTGAAATTCACTGACCAACTTCTTCGCCCACTGTCCCCGCGTTTCCATTGCTTCACTGTACCTCACCCAATGCTTGCAGGCATCTCCTGCACGAAAGCAAACATCCTGGCTTTAAAAATGAGATTCCTGGATACACACGACCCTCCCGTGCCTCTCAAATGTACGCAAATCTGTACAGCATTCCTTCTCTTTGATATCAGATCTGAAATACACAATATGCAGCATACTAAGTCCTTGTTTTCACACAACAGAGCTGGTCCTACCAGCAAGCGTTCCAAATTTAAGTACTGGAAAGAATGCCAAGGTCACTTTTCCTTGATTCTTCAGTTAGCCACAAACAGATTTTCTCCTGGGATACATCCTATCCCATCCTAACCCTTGCAAATTGATTAGGCACATCTAAGAACCAGATCCAGAGCTTAAGCAACTAAACAAGAATCCAAAGTTTCAACTCCATGTCTTCACAACAGACAGCAACTTATTCCTCTCTTTGTACTCTGCTTTGCCACCAACTTGTCAGTCACCCACTGACAGATAAATCAGATTAACCCTGCCCATGAGAATTTACATCCCAAGTCCTTTGTGCAGCCTTTCTTCCAGTCCTGCCTGAAGCTGTATAGCATCACTGCTCTTCAAATTCTTTTTTTATCTCCCTCCTCAAGTTGGGAGGCACACACTCCCCTACCTGTCCTGTGGAAAGGATAATAGTCAAAAGCCATCCTCCTGAAGGTCAGCTGCATGGCACCTCCCAGCATTCCATGCTTGAAAGCACCTGTGGAAAACAGAACAAAGAAAGCCATGATCAGCTCTGCAATCCCAGTCCTGATCCAGGAGAATTCAGAACAACACTGCTTTGATTGACAGCACTGATTGATTGTCACCATGGCCAACATTAGGGTAACACCTTTTAGAAAGCTGTATCAAAATCCTGTCCTAGACATGGAAAAGGATAACAGAATGTAACAGGCTCACAGTTTACATCATAAGAACCAGACCTAGAATCTCAAATCCCAAAAGGCAAGATCCCATTGCTTCTCAGGGCCCTATCAATTACATTTCCCACTACAACAACCAGCACTTGTTTTTCCAATGCTTGCTGGTAGGGCCAGTGAAATAAAGGCAACAAAACTGAGCTAAGATGTTGTAACAGCAGCTTAGGAGACAGTGATACACAGAGCAATGAAAAAATGTCTGGGAATAGTGATGGACATGGGTAGGAGAATAATTTTTTTCCTTTTTTAAAGGGAAGATGTGTGAAAACAAACAGGACAGCTTGGATCAGAAACAGCTGTGCAGGGTGGGGAGTACATTTGCCTCAAAAGAAAAAAAAGTGTTTAGAAGTATATCTCAGTAGAGAGGAGCTAGGAGTAAAACAGACACTAGCAAGCAAAGCCTTGCTTGAAAAGAACATGGTAGGCAGGGGAATGGTCTGTCAAAGGTGGCGAAGAATCCTTGTAGCTATGCTACCGTGAACATCCTGAACACTGTCAAAACAAATGTTTTCTCACCAAGTGGAACGATGATGCTTTATTCCCATCGCTTAACACCAGATTGTTCCTAGACCTTATCCTCTATCACTTCAACTGTGTCACTGGCAACCACATCCACTGATCACTTCCCCACGTTTGTTCCATGGAGCCAAGAAAGATTTTCCAGTATCTAGTTCAGAACTGATCTCCCCATCAGTCTGGACAACTAACTGCCTATTGCCTCACTGGGAAACAGGAACTTGAAAGATGTTTGTTTTCAAGACGAAAATCCTCCTTTAAGACAGAAAACTGATGACTGGACTAACGTTTTCCTTCTGATGCTCCTCTCAGTTACCTGACTCTCGAGTGTGGCTGTCGTCACAGATATGCAGATCCAAGCGTGAGATGAGGAGGTGGTACGATGACTCTTTCATGTCATGCTTATCAAAGTATTGACCAATGCTACTTGCATTCGGGTTGACTACAAATGGCTGAGACCAGGACTGCTGGGTACTTGGAGCAGGTGGTGTGATCTATTAGAGAGAGACAAGTTTGGTAAGAATTAATAGAAAGCGGGGCAGGGGGGAGGAAGGAAAAAAGAGAAAGGTTCTAATACAATTAAAAACAACTCATGCAATCTTCCAGACTGCAAGGCATCAATTTCTAGAAACTGAATTGGGAGTCCAGAAATCTGGATTATTTCCTGTGTTCTCATGACCAAAAAACTCTTTGTCTGTGGTTCTGTCTCCCTCTACATCGAGCTACCATTCGCTTATCTTAAAACATACTTTAAGATTCCTGGACGGAAAGGGCTAAGTATTCCTGATCCCCCCTTCTATGTAATCTCACTGCACCATGTGCATAGCCCTCCTTCTTGGCAGCTTCACCATCAGCTGTGATATTCCTCTTCACTCATCTTTGTCTCTGAAAATACCTTTTGTCCTCTGCCCTACGTGTTTATTCTGTGACATTCATTAAACAATTACTCACACAGCATTCTGAAAACAAAGCAAGCAGTAAGCAAAGTTCAAGGTTCCTGGCAGAAGCAGCTGTTCTAAGGTTCTCATACACTGCTGAGCTATTTGTGAACCAAACAATCACAAAAATCAAGAGCTCTCTCCAGAGTATTAGGAAAGAAAAAAGAAACTCAAACAACAACAGTGAAATTGGATGCCAGTGTTCTCCCTTGAGCATCACAGCTCACTACGGTTTGATGTCACAATTTATTACACCAGTCTGTTCCCTCAAGTCTACGCAGATTGTCATTCAGAGGCAGAAAAGATTATTTCTAGAACATATTTATTCCTTATTACCAAATCAAATCCTCGTGGGACCCTCTGCAACTTTCCATGTGCCAGCCAAATCCAGAAAGCCAAGCAACTTCCTACCACTTTTTCTCTGCCATCAGACAGAACCTGGCCTGTGACTACATACGAACGTTCTCTAACGACTTACTGGCAATAAGTCAAACTCATTTGGTCACTTCATTACCCTACAGTAGCCCAACATCCATGATGCTGACCTGACACCAGGTAAGCTTACCAGTTCCTGCTGGGGAGATGCTCTGTGAGCAAGGATAAGATGCCTCACAAACAGAAACCTTACCAGTTCCTGCTGGGGAGATGCTCTGTGAGCAAGGATAAGATGCCTCACAAACAGAAACCATCTCTTTCACCTTGTCTTTTCCTTTTTCTGGACAGATCAACATCCAAATCATGGCCCACTCACCTGTACAGACTCTGGTGCCAAGCTTTTCCTCTGCTGGGCAGACTTCTCCATGGCTTCACTCAGAGACTCTGCATATTTCATCATTGCTTTCAACTGAGAGTCTGTCAGCACCCAGAGCAGGTCATCAAGGAGAAACATCAGCTTAGATGCCATCACATTGCAATCTTTGGTCTGAAACAGCAAGGAGGAGTCAGAAATGTAAAGAATTGCAACCATATATATACATTCTTCAAAATACACAGAAGCTGTAGCAGAAACAAGAGATGCTACTCTGAAACTCATCTGAGAAAGAAGTTAACTCATGTGGTGGATGCCCACAGTACCTCCTCTGAGAAGGAAAGTAGTCAAAGTGACCTCCTCTACAGGAGCCAAATTGCTCATTGGTTTAAAAAAAAAAAAAAAAAGTTGTTTAATTATTTATTTATTTTTAAATCTACTCTTCATCACATTTCCGTTGACAGCTAAAAATAAGACTACCAGGCTTTAGTCTGCCAGTAAAGAGATGACAGCTCTCCTTGCGATTGTTCAAACAGATTTAAAAGCATGCTCCATACGCGTTATCCTCCCCTGGGAAATAAAACTGCTTTGACATTTGGTAAGAACACAGCTGTCTCCAACAGAAAACACCGAGTGATACAGTGGCTTGGGCTCCACACTCGTGAAGGAAAACAACAGTTGCTGAGGAACACGAGGAAACATGCGCCATGACTGCATCAGGCAGTGAGACTGTGTTCTGCAAAGAACGGAGGAAACTCTCACCCTTCTCTTGAGAGAGATCTGGATCCTCCCCTGGTTGGTAATGAGTCTCAGAGGAGTAGTAACAGGATCCTGATCGCCGTTGTCAGTGGCATCTGCTTCTATCCGAAGTGTCTGCCAGGTGAGCTCTTTGAATGTCAAAACCTACTCAGAAGGAGAAAAACAGGAAAATGCTAAGATTTTCAGCAACTTCCAGGATTAAAATAAACACTCAGAAGATGTGAAACGAAACAAGGCCACCAAAAAAAAAAAAAATCATTCAATGTACTTTTCTTCTGCGATCCCAGTACAAACCAAAATCACATCCCAGGTAACATCCAGTCCCCTCTCACACCAAGTTTAAAACCAGACAAACCAAAAGGGCATTCAGAGCTTCTCCAGTTTCATTCTCTCAGATTAGAGGAGCACAGAGAAAGCTCTGAACACAAGTCAGGTCTCAGCCGCCCTGCTCCAGCAAACAGTAGGCAAGCTCAAAGCTCCCTACGGTCACCGTATGAGAATTCAGACAACAGCCTGATCACCCCAGAGGACTGGGGTGGCATGAGTGCCACTCTTTGTGCCCGTTACGATGACTCTTTACCTCTCCTCTCTGCGGATCAGTAATGCGAGTGAGGCGCAAGTCACTCTGTTGCCAGTTTGGGTTGACGCTGTAGCCTTGGAGCTGCCATAGCTCAAAAGAAGCATGAAAGGCCTTGGAGTGAATCTTGATGGTGATGGAATTGACAACGATAAACATCCCCTCCACGACCTTTTCAGCAAAGCCATATTCACTGCAAAGAGAGGATCCCTCAAAGTCATCATCAGTTACAACAAAAGTCCCAGCAGAGGTAAGGCTACACACAGTGAGACTACAAGGTCTACAAGCAATATTAGAACCACTTTGACCTGAGAGCAGAGACATCAAGGGTTAACCATCAAAACAACGGCCACCCATACCCCAGTGGCATGCCAGAAAGAAACCACAGGGCTCAGGGTCTGACCTTTGGCCTGCAGCAAGAGCAATGGGCGACTGTCCGTTGGGTGGCCGAGGCTCTTCGCATGTTCGCATCTCCACCTCCACTTTATCCAGGTACTGTAAAGACAGAACAGGGGAGCAGTAAACACGAGACCAAGACTCAAGCTCAGCCTGAGGTCTGGGACCCTAGGGCAGGGATAAACAAGCTCCAGAGTCTCACACCTATCCAAGGGTCTCGTGTTAAAGCTCGCAACATCAGTGCCAAGACTGTTGGCTAATCCAAATCCCCAGAAGTGAAGGCAAAAACAAACAACAAAACCAGGCACAAGGTTGCCCTGGACTTCACTGAGAGCTCAGCCCAGCTCCATCCTGCAGCGAAATGCAGATCTCATGGGAGGTCACTCATTACCAAACAGGACTATTCTCAGAACTCCCCTTTCCCTATGTGCTAAGGGCCTAGAGGATTTAGGTCAAATGAGAATTCGAGTATACAGTTCACAGTTTCCCTTTGCACAACTTTTCTCAAGTAGGAGAGATTAGAAAGAGTGAGGAAGAAAAGGAATGAATAAAAGAGGAAACGTTACCAGGCAGATTGGGTGTGTTTTCAGTTTTGTCCACTGGATCTGAAACAATAAAGCTGAGGTTACAAGAGTTACCTTCACATTGGAAGGTTTGACAAATGGCAGGAAACCATTTAGTCTCAAGTTCTTCTCTGAGAAATGACCACAGTGACAATCCATCATGTCTCACCGTATTCAGGCTAAACAAGCTGACACAGACAAGTGAAAAGACATTCCAGCCACCAGACTTATAAATCCAGCTTAGCTTTTGGATCTCACATATCACAAGTAATAGATATTCTGCAGGTCAAATTCTCATTTCTCATATTCCTTTATGGAGAACGTTCTTGTCCTTAAGGAGTTTGCAATTAATTGCTGCAGTTACTGGAAGTCAGGTAGCTCTTTTGAAGACTGCACACAAATCAAAGATCCATTTTATTTTCTTACAGCGACACTCATTCTGCAGTTCTCGTAGGAGGAAGAACAAATGTTTGTTACTAAATTAAGCAGATCTGACTCTAAAAACAGAGCGGATCAGATGAGTAAGGCTCATTTTTATTGTCACTTGGCAGAGCAGAACCATATTTCTTTTATAGCAAGTCTCTTCGATATAACTAAAAACTTTCGCATTCATGTAATGCAACTATAGTTAGCATCAACTGAGATTAAACAATCCGGCATTTTATATCATCTGAAAAAAATAATCAATTTTTTTGCTCTAAAAAGCACGAGGAGGAAGAATTTGTAAGAGTTCAGTGTGCAGAAGTGCAAGTGCATGCACAGCTTCAGCGATTATGCACGTAAACTGTGGGTATAAAGGCTGCCTACGTGCAGGGTGCAGCTTTTCACATGCACTATTCAGGCATTTCTTAAATTGTTGCATTTTCAACAATCAGGACTTAAGTTCTATTTATTTTTAACAATACTTCACAGCATAATTAGGCTCTCAGAGAACTGCACTCCTTTTCTCTCTGCTTCCTATTCCTGTTGGAGGTCTGTGTTACTTCTTTAGCATTAAAGAAAAAAAAAAAACAGAGGGGATGGGGGAAGACAAAGAAAACTCCTCTGCTATCAAAATAGCAGGGAAATGGGAGGGAATGACCGGAGAGGTCTGTAAAATCCTGACATGGAGGTGATGAACAGGGAATGATTGCTCACTATTTCTTCCAATAACAGTACCAGGAGGCTATCAACTGAAACCATGCAGGCTTCGTACAGGCGAAAGCAGACGTAGTTAAGCTGTGAAATTCTTTGCCATGGCACACTCTGGATGTTAAACAAGAGGCTCCAGGAAACGTCTGGGCAAATTCCTGGAAATTCATGAGTGGCTATTAAATACAAAGACCACACTGCTGGCTTAACAAGTCACCTGAAGGTGAGGAAGGACCACAGCCACTTTTCTTGTGCTTCTCTCGGCATCCTCTCCCATCTGCTGCCGGCCACCATCAGAGGCACCCTTTGGTGAAACCTGCTGTGCCCAGCTCACAGCATCCGACCAACAAATCTCACACCCAAAGCACAGGGTTTGAGATGTGTGGATCAAACCACGTGATCCTTCCTCAGAAATTCCCAAGTGACAAACGGAAGCTGCCAACGGAAGGCCTCATCTGCACGCGGGGACGCGAGCGCAGCCTCCTCCGCTCACCCTGATAGATGCCTTGTTACAGTAGACCCGAGTGATGGCCAGCCAGGTGGGCAGCTCCAGCACATTCTGCAGCACCTCTTCATCCAGCTCCAGGTTGGTCAGCTGCCCTTGCCCTTTCAGCGTGCTCAGGTTGATTTTGTCTGGAGAGAGGTTCTTGGTAAAGCTACGAGAGAAGAAAGAGAAGACTCTAAAATTAACCCACAGCAAAGCTGCTGAGACCAGAGGAGACTCCGAGAGAGCTGTTTGAAGTACAGCAATCTGCTTGCTGTTTTGTAAAGCCTTTCTGACATTTTTAAATCCAGCAAGTTGGTTGCTCGAGGAAAAAAAAAGTCTCTTTACACTTTGACATTTGAGGGGCTTTTTTTGTTTGGTTGTGGGTTTTTTTGCGTGTGTGTGTTTTTTTTAATTTTAAATCAAATTCATGTTTGAGAAACTGAAAATTCCTTCTAAAGCACTGGGAACCTGGAGACCAGCAAAACTGCCCTAGGACAAACCCAAAGGAAACCAAAGCCAAACTGCAATAGGTCAACAATTTTACTCCCCCTAGAAGTGCCATATCAGTAGTGGAAAGCTTAATTATACAGATTTATTTTTTTTAAAGTTTTTGGTATAGGAAAGAAAAAGATCATTAATACATCACTTTTATGGCTGTCTCTTTAAACACCAGTCTCACAATCCAGTCTGCTCTTTGGTCAGCAGGTCTGAGCACGCAACCTAACTCCCCTCTCGTGACCAGCCCACGCTGCCATCCTCCTCCTTTTGGCAACCAGCAGCTGCTGCTCTCTCTGGCTGCAATTCCTCCTCCCAAGGGCTTCTGTTGTTTCACCTCCCTTGTATGCAGCCTAGTATCTTCAGATCCTCCTGTGCCCTGAGATTTAAATGCAATGGATGAAACAATT